GTGTCTGGAACATAAACGCAAATATGTACACGATCTGCTGGTGTCTGGAACATAAACGCAAATATGTACACGATCTGCTGGTGTCTGGAACATAAACGCAAATATGTACACGTTCTGCTGGTGTCTGGAACATAAACGCAAATATGTACACGTTCTGCTGGTGTCTGGAACATAAACGCAAATATGTACACGTTTCTGCTGGTGTCTGGAACATAAACGCAAATATGTACACGATCTGCTGGTGTCTGGAACATAAACGCAAATATGTACACGTTCTGCTGGTGTCTGGAACATAAACGCAAATATGTACACGTTCTGCTGGTGTCTGGAACATAAACGCAAATATGTACACGATCTGCTGGTGTCTGGAACATAAACGCAAATATGTACACGTTCTGCTGGTGTCTGGAACATAAACGCAAATATGTACACGTTCTGCTGGTGTCTGGAACATAAACGCAAATATGTACACGTTCTGCTGGTGTCTGGAACATAAACGCAAATATGTACACGTTCTGCTGGTGTCTGGAACATAAACGCAAATATGTACACGTTCTGCTGGTGTCTGGAACATAAACGCAAATATGTACACGTTCTGCTGGTGTCTGGAACATAAACGCAAATATGTACACGTTCTGCTGGTGTCTGGAACATAAACGCAAATATGTACACGTTCTGCTGGTGTCTGGAACATAAACGCAAATATGTACACGTTCTGCTGGTGTCTGGAACATAAACGCAAATGTGTACACGTTCTGCTGATGTCTGGAACATAAACGCAAATGTGTACACGTTCTGCTGATGTCTGGAACATAAACGCAAATATGTACACGATCTGCTGGTGTCTGGAACATAAACGCAAATATGTACACGTTCTGATGGTGTCTGGAACATAAACGCAAATATGTACACGATCTGATGGTGTCTGGAACATAAACGCAAATATGTACACGTTCTGATGATTATTGCCATCTGTTGTGTTCTAACAGAGCTACAACTAGCACACTGCAAAAGCGTCCAGCAGGTACACCTTTCGCTTTCTCTCTTAGAAACAGAACTTGATGACAATGACTCCGTCATACATTTTATTGAACAGGTTACATGACACAACTGCAGAGACGAGGCTATTGATCCCAATTAACATTCTTCCTTAGTCCATTTAGTCAACACACTCTCTCTCTCTCTCTCTCTCTCTCTCCCTCTCCCCCCCCCCCCCCTCTCTCTCTCTCTCTCTCTCTCTCTCTCTCTCTCTCTCTCTCTCTCTCTCTATCTGTAGCCGCCTTTCCTTGGCCTCTACAGCTCCAAAGGTCTACAGCGTCCACAACTATGGCACGCCGTACAGCTGAATAAGACGAATACTCCTATCCACGGGATCTTTATGTTATTTCAGCAGACACCCACAGCTGACTGGAGACAGACTTCCCTTGCCGTACTCCAAAAACAAACAGCTCACGTCAGCCTGTCGAAGGACTCCGATGACCGACAGGTCTTCTAATACAAGTCTCCTCTAGCACACAGCTCTCGTCGGCATCCCCACTGTCCTGTTTCCGTAGTGACCCTACGTCTGCTTGCGCCGTCACTCAGAACAGTTACTATTGGAGCATCCCGTCCCCTTGGACTTACTTCGCCAGCGGGACTATACCTTCGACCAGTACTGCAACCTCAACACTTACTCAGGCTTTGATGCCTGATAGTTGTACGGTACTCTTGTCTGTTATACTCGAGAGAAATAATCACTGACCTAACTTGGTCCCTCTCTATCTCTTTCTCAGTCTTGCTCTGACTCTCAGACTGACTGGACTGACTCTGCAGCCTCAATTTATCCCTGTAGATTAGGCACACTCGTGTGAGCGTTCTCAGGAAACATGCTCATGTGGGTGTTCTCGAGACTCACGTTCAAGGGAGCGTTTTCGAGGATCACACTTATGTGAGTGGCCGATGTCACATGAGAATCACGCTGTCACGTAATACACCCTTCTCTCTGGGATTCTCATTCTCCATGCTTGTCAGCCCCCACACAGTAAACCACCGCTTCTACTTTCTCGTGCGTTCACGCCTCGTTCATGATAAGACATTTTCACTGGTCAACATTCTCTCCTCTCACTACTCGGACCATGTTGACACTATTCCCCCGTGAACTCACAGAAAGTACTCACATACCATTCTGTCCCTTCACACAATAATACACCCTCCCTAAATCAGCACGCAACACCATCATTGATGTAGGCGGAAATTTTGGGAAATCAACTGAGCAGGACTTGATCGCCGATGCGACAGGCCAGTCACTTAAGAAAAGCCTGTTTGGCCTCTGATAAGACGACACTCTATTATAGGAACAGAATCCATTGTCAGATTACAGAACGGGCCTAAATCAGTGAAATCAATTGTGCCGGAATAAGCTCTTTGATGTCATTTCTCACCTGTTTGCAGCAAGTTGCCAGTTTGGCTAATATAATACACATGACCTTGGTCTCCTTCACTGCGCAAAATATGAAGTAATAAATGCCATTGCGTGGGTGTGTGTGTGAGTACGCGCGTGTGTATGTGTGAGTGTGCGCGCGTGTGTTTGTCTGCAGATGTGTGTGTGTGTGTGTGTGTGTGTGTGTGTGCCACCGTCAGACAGGACTCTAGCCCGGATATTTAATAACCGAAGAAAAGCTCGAACTGTTGCAAGTTAAGACAAATTTCTTTCGGAGGTCACAATAGACCCAACTCTTATCCCAAGGCTTGGTTGTAACCGTTAATGCAGTTGCCAGGATGGTCATCAGAACATGAATTAATTTCTGAACCTCCTGTGTGGGTTCTGGGGACCCATTATGGGGGAAACAAAAATAGACCTAGTGCCTATCTGCCACAGTGGCAAGGAACAACCAGTTGCACACACATAAGCCAGTAAAACTGGCGTACATGCAACACCCAGTCCCTGACAAAAAGTCAAAGTCCTAATGGAAGAACACCCAGGACTTTCAGCCAGAGCTTGTAGCCTGTGAACAAGGAATGAATCAGTTGCAACTGTGTCCCGCCTTAGATGGGGGTGGTTCGGGAGTAGAATCCAGGGACGTGAGCTCCTGGCAACGACTTCTATGTAGCCCCACCCCCAGAAAGTACACGTGAAAAATTTCCTAGTCTTCACCGGGACTCCGGCACTCGAGGCGGACGCCATACCTCGAGATCACGCCATACCTCGAGATTACGTCATACCTCAAGACCACGTCATACCTCGAGATCACGTCATACCTCGAGATCACGTCATACCTCGAGGCGGACGCCATACCTCGAGACCACGTCATACCTCGAGACCACTCATACCTCAAGATCACGCCATACCTCGAGACCACGTCATACCTCGAGATCACGTCATACCTCGAGGCGGACGCCATACCTCGTGATCACGTCATACCTCGAGATCACGTCATACCTCGAACGGACGCCATACCTCGAGACCACGTCATACCTCGAGATTACGCATACCTCGAGATCACGCCATACCTCGAGACCACGTCATACCTCGAGGCGGACGCCATACCTCGAGACCACGTCATACCTCGAGATCACGTCATACCTCGGGGCGGACGCTATACCTCGAGATCACGTCATACCTCGAGGCGGACGCCATACCTCAAGATCACGTCATACCTCGAGGCGGACGCCATACCTCGAGAAAACGCCATATCTCGAGATCACGTCACACCTCGAGATCACGTCATACCTCGAGGCGGACGCCATACCTCGAGACCACGTCATACCTCGAGATCACGTCATACCTCGAGGCGGACGCCATACCTAGAGACCACAAAACCCCCAGTGCACTTTGAATTAACATACAATGTACTATAAATAATTAGATACTGTACTATAAAGAATTATAAATTGTACTATAAATAATTAGACATTGTACTATAAATAATCAGATATTGTACTATAAATAATTAGACATTGTACTATAAATAGTCAGACATTGTACTATAAATAATCAGATATTGTACTATAAATAATTAGACATTGTACTATAAATAATCAGATATTGTACTATAAATAATTAGACATTGTACTATAAATAATCAGACATTGTACTATAAATAATCAGATATTGTACTATAAATAATTAGACATTGTACTATAAATAATCAGATATTGTACTATAAATGATTAGACATTGTACTATAAATGGTCAGACAGTGTACTATAAGTAATTAGACATTGTACTATAAATAATCAGACAGTGTACTATAAATAATTAGACAGTGTACTATAAATAATTAGACATTGTACTATAAATAATTAGACATTGTACTATAAATAGTCAGACAGTGTACTATAAATAATTAGACAGTGTACTATAAATAATTAGACATTGTGCTATGAATAAACATGCAATATCGATACATTGTGTCATCAGCATGGTGGATATGTTTCCTTAGTGTGCATTCACTGATTATTTTCCTTTATATTTTCTTTAGGGGAAGAAACTTAGAAGATGCCATGGGCATTCTTTACCGTGGATCTTAGTCCTAGTAATATAGTGCTTCTCGGGTGGCTTTGGCGATGGATTCGTCGTTAAATAGGATATTGTTGCTCAACTTACTACTACTATTACTGCTGCTGCAACTGCTACAACTACTACTACTGCTACTACTACTACTACTGCTGCTGCTGCTACTACTGCTGCTGCTACTACTACTACTACTGCTACTATTGCTGCGGCAACTACTACTATTAGTGTTATTACTACTTTAGTTACGGCCGGATACGACTGATCGTCACAGATACCCACCCGTGCTAGACTACAGGTCACTTCGTAAACGTTTCTTGGTGCCCCAATACAGTTGTGCTATATGGCTATGAAGGGTTGAACGGGGTTTAAGGAATGTATCCCAGTTTGATTCTCATCCCTGAGACATTCATTCTACAGACTGCAATCTTGCAGAGGGGGAACTAAGGAAATTGGTTGGTTAGGCCGTGCACGACAGCGGGCACCTGGCCGGTCCAGGAGAAGGGCAATGGCGAACTTGTGTAGGCCAGGGACCTGTCGATCAGCTGTCCGGCTGGTCAGGTCCCTGTCGGGGCTGGGCTTCCAGCAGGGCACGCTTGGATCTGCCCAAGTTATCTCATGCCTATATACCAACCACCTGAGCCATCACCACCACAGGTAACCCATATTCTGACAACAATAGCCAAGGCAAATGTGTGAACCTATCGTTAGTTACATCAGATTCGTTTAAATTGTCATTGAATATTATTATTATAAAATGATTATAATTTATTGAAAGCGGATAGTATACGTCTAATCCCAGTTTTAAATGACGACGGTCATTTGTGTTTTTTTAGTTCATAATAATATTTATATATTATATATTAATACTTTTTTCAACAAATTATTAACTTATCTACCACTAGGGATCCTAGTGAAGTTTTATACAATTATAAACAATATTGGGTTTGTTATGAAACCATACCATCACAGCCGGACAGAGATTCAAACATCCAATTCAATCATACAAGTGATACTCAGGTGTGGTTGTTTTGTTAGTCATCAGAACTGATAATGTAATCATCAATATAGGATTGCCTCAAGGTTCTCCGCTGTTTCCATTTGTATTCAGTATCATTCAATATGTACACAGTGCTGATAACTGAGCAGCAGTTGCAGGGGAGTGGCAGGATTTGCTGATGACCTCTTGGTTTATCCACATAAAAGATATCATCAAGAGATTGCCAATTCAATGTAGAGTGAACTTAATCGCATCTCCTCCAGGTGTGTAGATTCTAATGCTCATGTCAACTCTTCGAAAGCCTGAGTAACATGGTTCTCCCATCGAATATGCTCTAACCATTCTCGCTGTCAGCCGTGCTTAAATTGAAAGACTTGAGAAGGTGCAAAATGAAGCAATGCGCATTTTTCTAGGATGCACTGGAGACACCTCGTGTGTAGCAATGAGGTACCTTCCTGTCTTCCCTACCATAAACTACAGGATCAAGATCTGGAGGGCTCGTGCATGCCTCAAGATAAGCTCAGATCTGAAGCAGCACCCTTTGCAACACATGCTCTTCATAAAAAAAAGGCAATAGACTTAAAAAGGGCAAATCATGGCTGGGTAGGGCAGAGGATGACATGCAGGTCTCCAGCCTCACAGATATCCATCCAGGTGAGGAGTGGATACCAGCATCTAAAGGGCCAAATCTCACATTCTCCTGTGTCCTGATGCCTAATAGGAGTTGTCTGGAGGGTCGATGCTCCCGTTTTCATGGTCGAAGTACGCTCGAGTGCACATGCCAGGAGAGGCAAATAAAAAATAAACATTTTACATTATTTCTTTAGAAAACAGTTTTAATTGAATTTAATACAAGCTCAGCTACAGCACTACGCTACAGCATAATTAAATTCATACAACCATGTGTTCTCAAGTCAAAGTCCCTACCTCAAGTCTTAGCCAAGATTTTCATATTTGAGTGTGAATATTATTGAAGTACTAGTCAGTTTGCTTTTCTAGCAGTAGCATTGTGAACCTTCAGTCCCTGTAAGTTGTAAACCTTCAGTCCCAGCAAGTTGTAAACCTTCAGTCCCCACAAGTTGTAAACTTTCAGTCCCCACAAGTTGTAAACCTTCAGTCCCAGCAAGTTGTAAACCTTCAGTCCCCACAAGTTGTAAACCTTCAGTCTCCACAAGTTGTAAACCTTCAGTCCCCACAAGTTGTAAACTTTCAGTCCCCACAAGTTGTAAACCTTCAGTCCCTGCAAGTTGTAAACCTTCAGTCTCCACAAGTTGTAAACTTTCAGTCCCCACAAGTTGTAAACTTTCAGTCCCCACAAGTTGTAAACCTTCAGTCTCCACAAGTTGTAAACTTTCAGTCCCCACAAGTTGTAAACCTTCAGTCCCTGCAAGTTGTAAACCTTCAGTCTCCACAAGTTGTAAACCTTCAGTCCCTGCAAGTTGTAAACCTTCAGTCCCTGCAAGTTGTAAACCTTCAGTCCCTGCAAGTTGTAAACCTTCAGTCCCCACAAGTTGTAAACCTTCAGTCCCCACAAGTTGTAAACCTTCAGTCCCCACAAGTTGTAAACCTTCAGTCCCCACAAGTTGTAAACCTTCAGTCCCCACAAGTTGTAAACCTTCAATCCCCGCAAGTTGTAAACCTTTAGTCCCCGCAAGTTGTAAACCTTTAGTCCCCACAAGTTGTAAATCTTCAATCCCTGCAGGTTGTAAACCTTTAGTCCCTGCAAGTTGTAAACCTTCAGTCCCCACAAGTTGTAAATCTTCAATCCCTGCAAGTTGTAAACCTTCAGCCCCCACAAGTTGTAAACCTTCAGCCCCCACAAGTTGTAAACCTTCAGTCCCTGCAAGTTGTAAACCTTCAGCCCCCACAAGTTGTAAACCTTTAGTCCCCACAAGTTGTAAATCTTCAATCCCTGCAAGTTGTAAATCTTCAATCCCTGCAAGTTGTAAATCTTCAATCCCTGCAGGTTGTAAACCTTCAGTCCCTGTAAGTTGTCATTTGTGAAGAAACTCTACAGCTCTCAGCAAACACATATGACTGTTGTGTTTTTGAGGAAACTTCATCTCATTCATTCTTTGACAAGTATTTTGATGAGTGTACACACGAACACATATGTGTAACACGGCCACTTATATATTCTTGTATTATAATTTATAACCAGACACTTTAGTTTTCTAATTATACCTCAAATAGAAAACACCATTGATCAGAAACATGACTTAACATTATAGCCTTGCAAGCTTCTGTGTCACCATTTCAAGTGGTTCCACTACAGGCCACTCTTATAAATTATTGTACACGGAGAAGTTGAATCCAGTGGAATATTGGCTTTACACATGGAAGAGTGCTGAAAGCTGAACATATATTATATTCAGTTGCTGTCAGTACAAATCTCCATTCTATCATCAGCCATTTCCCATCAGAGTATTTTTAGAATAATTTTTTCTTCTGAATCACTTTAACCCCTGCGCCAGCATGCACCAAACATGCCCGTTAATTGTTATTTTCTTTAGCTCCTGTTGTATGCAATATGTGGATAAATGAAGGTGTGTGGCCTTAGCAGTATAGTCCATGTATTCAAGTCCCTTGATTTAGATGTAAACCTTTTTGAATAATATGTGAAATGAACCGCAGACTTATTTGCCTGACTCAGAGCTTCAAGGACTACTACAGCTCTGCAGTTGGAGGAAAACCATGGAGAAGTTCATTGAGGAATGTGATCCACTGGGTGGTGAGAAGGGCTCCCGGTGGTTGTTGACCAGTGTGTTAGCAGAAGCTGTTGACTCTACGAAGAGGAGCCGTTGACTCTGTGACGTTGGAGAGGACAGACGCACCAGCAGAGCCCTGAGAACTGATGTTGTTATTACATGCCCAGTTGTAGCCTGGGATTAGGGTGTGACTGTATGTTCTAGTCTGGGTGTTGCCAGGCTAGACAAGTGTGCCTTTGTTTCATGCTGGCTAGTGGCATCTAGTGTCCATGTTGTCTACGGGAGTTGAGCAGCACTGGAAGGGTTTCACAAGTTACTGTGCATCAGCCTGGGGTTCCTCTGTGGTCAGAGAGACAGTCACGCTAATCACAAACAGGTGGATTCATGCGTTCGCATATTGACTGCCCATAGCAATCTATGGAGAGGTCTTCCAGAGTGACTTACCTGTGGCAGCAGTGGGAATGACTGTAGCCGTCTATGGGGAGGTCTTCCAGAGTGGCGTACCTGTGGCAGCAGTGGGAATGACTGTAGCTATCTATGGGGAGGTCTTCCAGAGTGGAGTACCTGTACCTGTGGCAGCAGTGGGAATGACTAGCCGTCTGATATTTGTATTTTGTGATGCACTCCGTTTCATGATGTCCGAATACAGTGTCTACTTTGGTGGTAAACCTGTGTCCGGAGTCCTCTGTTACTATTGAGCATGAGATTGTGACCTGTAAGACTCACCTTCTTGAGTACCCCCTAGATACTCGGCAAGAGTGTGGTGCATCAGCGAGCTTCGCACCTGTCAGCTCTCTGGATGTCTTTGTCATCTTCACATAAAAAATGTTTCCCTGCATTAAATGTCAATAATATACTGGTATTTTGTTGTGTGACCTCCTAGATATCTTCACCTGGGCATGCTGCCTGTGCTCAGACCAAGGTCACAGCTACAGAAGAAGCTTGTATCTCCCCTGGATCATTTACCTGTGCGATGTTTCTTTAAGCTGCCAAACTTAAACCCACTGGCTTCATCATCGAAACGCAAGCAGTATTCTGAACGAAGGATACTTGGGTAAAGTACAAACTGGCATTACTTTGCTATGTGCATGTGTGTGTGTGTGATGGGGCTATAGTCCCCATTGATGGTGAAGAGTTGGATACATTTGACTATTTCAGACAGCTGAGCTGAGAAATGATAAAACTCTTACTGGAATCAAAGCCATGAGGTGAGGAACCAACAGTCTGCACACAAGTAAGCCATATCTGTAAAGTGCATGTGCATGCAAAACTCTAGTTCTGGAATAAGACCAAAGTACAGAATCACCAGAACTTTCCACCATAGATTATTGCCAGTGAATGGGAAGATGAAGAAGAACTGAACCAAGAAATCAACAACAGGATAAGTAAGGCAACAACAACAATGGGCAGATAAACACACACACAGGAAAAGTAAGGCAACAACAACAATGGGCAGATAAACACACACACAGGATAAGTAAGACAACAACAACAATGGGCAGATAAACACACACAGAGGAAAAGTAAGGCAACAACAACAATGAGCAGATTAACACACACACAGGAAAAGTAAGGCAACAACAACAATGAGCAGATTAACACACACACACAGGAAAAGTAAGGCAACAACAACAATGAGCAGATTAACACACACACACAGGAAAAGTAAGGCAACAACAACAATGAGCAGATTAACACACACACACAGGATAAGTAAGGCAACAACAACAATGAGCAGATAAACACACACACAGGAAAAGTAAGGCAACAACAACAATGAGCAGATTAACACACACACACACAGGATAAGTAAGACAACAACAACAATGAGCAGATTAACACACACACACAGGATAAGTAAGGCAACAACAACAATGAGCAGATAAACACACACACAGGATAAGTAAGACAACAACAACAATGAGCAGATTAACACACACACAGGATAAGTAAGACAACAACGATGAGCAGATAAACACACACACAGGATAAGTAAGGCAACAACAACAATGAGCAGATTAACACACACACACAGGATAAGTAAGACAACAACAACAATGGGCAGATAAACACACACACAGGATAAGTAAGGCAACAATGATGAGCAGATAAACACACACACAGGATAAGTAAGACAACAACGATGAGCAGATAAACACACACACAGGATAAGTAAGGCAACAACAATGGGCAGATAAACACACACACAGGATAAGTAAGACAACAACGATGAGCAGATAAACACACACACAGGATAAGTAAGACAACAACAACAATGAGCAGATAAACACACACACAGGATAAGTAAGACAACAACAACAATGGGCAGATAAACACACACACAGGATAAGTAAGGCAACAACAACAATGGGCAGATAAACACACACACAGGATAAGTAAGACAACAACAACAATGGGCAGATAAACACACACACAGGATAAGTAAGGCAACAACAACAATGGGCAGATAAACACACACACAGGATAAGTAAGGCAACAACAACAATGGGCAGATAAACACACACACAGGATAAGTAAGACAACAACAACAATGGGCAGATAAACACACACACAGGATAAGTAAGGCAACAACAACAATGGGCAGATAAACACACACACAGGATAAGTAAGGCAACAACAACAATGGGCAGATAAACACACACACAGGATAAGTAAGACAACAACAACAATGGGCAGATAAACACACACACAGGATAAGTAAGGCAACAACAACAATGAGCAGATAAACACACACACAGGATAAGTAAGGCAACAACGATGAGCAGATAAACACACACACAGGATAAGTAAGGCAACAACGATGAGCAGATTAACACACACACACAGGAAAAGTAAGGCAACAACAATGAGCAGATTAACACACACACACACACAGGATAAGTAAGGCAACAACAACAATGAGCAGATAAACACACACACAGGATAAGTAAGGCAACAACAACAATGGGCAGATAAACACACACACAGGATAAGTAAGGCAACAACAACAATGGGCAGATAAACTCACACAAAAAGTTTGGGAGAATAGAAAGCTTATAGTCTGGTAGTGAAACTCTGCAAGCACTAGGAGACACAGCTCAATAGCTGTCACATACGAACAATGCCTAACAATAAAAATTGGCATGAGGTGGCAAGACAAGATCACAGACACTGAGCTATTAGAACAAGCAGATATTACAACAGTTTTCTCAGTGCTCACTCTCTGAATACTCAGGTGGCTTGGTCACACTTTGGGAATGGAGGATGATAGAGAGTCCCGGAGGACATAGTCATTGGTGAATAACAGATGGTAGAAGATGTCATGGTTGGCCTCGGACACAGTCATTAGTGAATAACAGATGGTAGAAGATGTCATGGTTGGCCTCGGACATAGTCATTGGTGAATAACAGATGGTAGAAGATGTCAGGGTTGGCCTCGGACACAGTCATTGGTGAATAACAGATGGTAGAAGATGTCATGGTTGGCCTCGGACACAGTCATTGGTGAATAACAGATGGTAGAAGATGTCATGGTTGGCCTCGGACACAGTCATTGGTGAATAACAGATGGTAGAAGATGTCAGGGTTGGCCTCGGACATAGTCATTAGTGAATAACAGATGGTAGAAGATGTCATGGTTGGCCTCGGACATAGTCACTGGGAAAAAACAGATGGTAGAAGATGTCAGGGTTGGCCTCTACTACAGTTTAAAGATGTCTGCAAGCAGGACATGAACAGTTACAAATACTAATGTGAATTCATGGGAACAAGATACCATGGGTCATGTTGCATGAAGGGTTACCATTTGGAAGGAAATAATCATTCAGAAGAACAGGATTAGGAGCTAAGATTCTGATAAGAACAGGTCAGATTCGTGAGATAGCAACAATTATCCTGAAATCTCATGCACTCGATGAGGGAGTTTGTTCTTAACGTGAGCAGGTCTTCCTAGTGACACTCGCCATCACCATGGGCTACCCATCGCTCGTGATGTTTCACTGTGTCCACAGCCAGCTCAAAGCTCTGTCTGTAGCTTCACCCAGATGTTTTACTGTGTCCACAGCCAGCTCAAAGCTCTATCTGTAGCTTCACCCAGATGTTTCACTGTGTCCACAGCCAGCTCAAAGCTCTATCTGTAGCTTCACCCAGATGTTTTACTGTGTCCACTGGAAGCTCTATATGTAGATGTTTTAGCACTGGTTTATGCACTTCTCCCTACAAGCCAATCTGCTTGAGTACATTTTATGTGGAGGTGGAGATTAGCCCTCATGCTCCTAGATTATCCCTCATGCTCCTAGATTAGCCCTCATGCTCCTAGATTAGCCCTCATGCTCCTACCTTGATGGGGAAGAGTTTTGCTGTGTACCCCTCGTCGCTCCTCAGACCGCCCACCAGTTCACTATACTTTTCGACCTTGTACAGGTGATAATCTTCCATTCGCGACTCGTATGGCATGCTAAGCTCTATCAGGATGAGCTGGCGTTCTACCACAGAGTGCAGAACCATGTTTGGTCTCAGGCCAGTCTTTCAGATTACTTCAGGTTATTTCTCAAAACCGTGCATGTCGACTACCAGTTACCATTCCCCTGCAGTCAAGTAAGGATAGAGCGTATGTGACTTTGTTGAATTTACCTTTAGAAATCTGCACAGCATTGGGGGGGGGGGGCATTAGGGCTGGCCCTCACATTGACCCTCATCCTGTCTTTGTGAAGACATCGCATGTGGATATGTTTCATTATTGACATTGACTCAGCTGGAGACTTCAACAGTTCTTCACTTGATTGTGTCCATACAGCTACACCATGGAACAGATGTATGAGATTGTGGCAGATGTGGGTCGCTACCATGAGTTTGTTCCCTGGTGCACCAGCTCCAAGGTGTTTGATGTTAGACCCAACGGGTTCAAGTCCAGGATGGAGATTGGCTTTCCTCCGCTGGTGGAGAAGTACAACTGTACCATCACACTAGTTCATCCTAACCTTGTACATGTGAGTTGATTCTCTGTCCCCCCCCCCCCCTCTCCTCTCTCTCTCTCTCTCTCTCTCTCCATCACACTAGTTCATCCTAACCTTGTACATGTGAGTTGATTCTTGTACCCCCCCCCCCCCCCCACTCCTCTCTCTCTCTCTCTCTCTCTCTCTCTCTCTCTCTCTCCCATCACACTAGTTCATCCTAACCTTGTACATGTCAGTTGATTTCTTGTACCCCCCCCTCCCTCCTCTCTCTCTCTCTCTCCACCACACTAGTTCATCCTAACCTTGTACATGTGAGTTGATTCTTACCGTTAATGTACCCCTACCCCCCCCCCCCCCCTCCTCTCTCTCTCTCCATCACACTAGTTCATCCTAACCTTGTACATGTGAGTTGATTCTTACTGTTAATGTACCCCTACCCCCCCCCCTCTCTCTCTCTCTCTCTCCATCACACTAGTTCATCCTAACCTTGTACATGTGAGTTGATTCTTGTACCCCCCCCCCCCCCCCCCCCTCTCTCTCTCTCTCTCTCTCCATCACACTAGTTCATCTAACCTTGTACTAATGTGAGTTGATTTCTTGTCCCTATCACGTCACCCCCCCCCCCCCCCCCCCCCCCTCCTCTCTCTCTCCATCACACTAGTTCATCCTAACCTTATACATCCGAGTTGATTCTTACCGTTAATGTACCCCTAACCCCCCCCCCCCCCCTCTCCTCTCTCTCTCTCTCCATCACACTAGTTCATCCTAACCTTGTACATGTGAGTTGATTCTTACTGTTAATGTACCCCTACCACCCCCCCCCCCCCCCTCCTCTCTCTCTCTCCATCACACTAGTTCATCCCAACCTTGTACATGTGAGTTGATTCTTGTACCCCCCCCCCCCCCCCTTTTTCTCCCTTTCTGGGTGTGTGTCTGTCTGTCTCTCTCTCTTACTTTCTCTTTTTTCCCTTACTTACACACCCTTTCTGTGCACTTAAATATAGATCTGACATTATCTTTATTGTCTTTATCCACCCATTTTCCCTTATTCTTAAGCCTTTCCACAAAATGGATGAGTTTATTCTTCTCTCTCTCTCTCCCTCTTTCTTTCTCTGCATCCTTTTTCTCTCTGTCTGACATTATTTTTAGTCTCTCTGTCTGTTGATCATCTCCTATTCTTGTCACCAACCAACGTGGGAATGTACAGTTATACAGTGAGAGCGTGGGTTTGAATCCTAGCGAGTGCCGCCATTGTCAGGGTTTTAACCTACTACTGCACAGCCACGTGAGAACTGGACTAATATCTGAGCTATTTAGATCAAAGACACAGTGTTGCATAACCAAAGAATCGATGCCGACTAGTCCCTGCCCAGTGTGTGAACTGTGATGAAGAAACAAGCTCATATGTGAAGTATCTAGATTTACACCAAAGATGCCTATTCTAATAAAAACATTTGATCTCTCCCCCATATTCACATTCTCTCCTGTCCAGTCTGAAAGGACTTCATCTCACATTGTAGTTGTTACATTTTCTGCCTTCCTCTACCTATGTCCTGTCTGGAAGGACTTCATCTCATATTGTAGTTGTGACATTTCCTGTCTTTCTCTACTCATGTCCTGTAATCTAAGTCTGATGTCGTCTCTCATGCAGACTCAAAATGACATTCAGTTTGACAGAACAAGTTCTGGAATGAACACCTGAAATAATGTGCATGTCCAGAATGATAACAATATTTCCAGGGCAACATCAGATATAAATTCTTAGAACCTCTGGCACTAGCCTCCTCCTGAGTGGAATACATTTCTGTGTATGAGCTGTAAGTAAGATAGATTCAAAATAACCACACGTTAAGAGATTGCCAAAAAAAAAATTTAACACTTGGGGTTTCAAACAAATGATAGTTCATTAAATTTCAGTGGTAACATCAGTATTCAGTTTATACAACATTGAAACACATGCACATGGAAAACATACATGACAATGTCAGTTAAGATTTATAGCATTTTGACAGTGCTCTACGAGAATGGAGAAATGTCTGCTAAGGAGTACTATAAAGTTTTAAGTACACACATTTGAGCAAAGAGACAATTGAGATTTCTGTCAAGAAATAAAGGTTGAAAATAGTTTTGCTTACCTGGGAAATGAAAACACAATGCCACCAAGCAAGTTCCGTCTCAAGCTTAGGGTTTCAGCCCAACAGACAATGTGCTAATGGCATGTGCAGATAGCTAAGTCTCACTTTCCAGCCTTAGAGTCCACCCTTTGATAGTCTCTTCTAAGCTCCTCCTCTCCTCTATCCAAAACCACTCTCATTCAAGGAGTGTCAAAGCTCCACCCTGTGGGTGTCCATTCACTTCAGTCGGGACTGCACAACACTTGTTTGCATTTCCACGGTTACATTCTTATGGCTCATCAAGCTGTCCAATGACTATAAATTAATCCAAACATGTCCGCTGCTCAGATCAGGACTGTGAAAACATATCCGCTGCTCAGATCAGGACTGTGAAAACATATCTGCTGCTCAGATCAGGACTGTGAAAACATATCCGCTGCTCAGATCAGGACTGTGAAAACATATCCGCTGCTCAGATCAGGACTGTGAAAACATATCCGCTGCTCAGATCAGGACTGTGAAAACATATCCGCTGCTCAGATCAGGACTTTGAAAACATATCCGCTGCTCAGATCAGGACTGTGAAAACATATCCGCTGCTCAGATCAGGACTGTGAAAACATATCCGCTGCTCAGATCAGGACTGTGAAAACATATCCGCTGCTCAGATCAGGACTGTGAAAACATATCTGCTGCTCAGATCAGGACTGTGAAAACATATCCGCTGCTCAGATCAGGACTGTGAAAACATATCCGCTGCTCAGATCAGGCCTGTGAAAACATATCTGCTGCTCAGATCAGGCCTGTGAAAACATATCTGCTGCTCAGATCAGGCCTGTGAAAACAGCCTACTTCTAGTTTTCTCAATGTCTGTAACACAAGTTGTACATTTGAGCATATGAGATGGTAATGTTCAAGAATGAGAAAAGCCACTCACAAATATTATAGCATGTATGATCCTGGTATACACACATTTCAATCCTTGCCTATGGTAAGGATTTTGTGCACTGAGCTGAAATTCTCTTATGTGAGCTATGCGAGGAGACTGGAGCACTCATAGAGCTACTAGCGTTAAGTAAAAGTGTCCTTAACCTAAACCGAACAAAATAAATGCCTCTAGCAGAACTGATGCACGGTAATCTGATCTAGTTTTTGCTTAGATATGAGTTCTGAAGCCTCTGTCACAAGGGTCCAACACCTGTCTCAAGGAGTTTGTGTGTTCCTTGCCCTTTCCGTTATTCTGTTGTTGAGGACAACAATGCTCCCAGGGAATTCTCCACTGACTGATAGACTGCAGAGGGAGGCTCAGAGAATTTGCCAACATGCCATGAAAGAACAACTGTAGCAGAAATGATGAACGAGTCTGGACATACCATGACGGCTGGGCACAGACGTGAACACCAACACAGCAGAGACTGTCAGATGTGCAGTTGTGTCTCACAGGGGACTGTCAGAGGTGCAGTTGTGTCTCAGAGGTGCAGTTGTGTCTCAGAGGGGACTGTCAGAGGTGCAGTTGTGTCTCAGAGGGGACTGTCAGAGGTGCAGTTGTGTCTCAGAGGTGCAGTTGTGTCTCAGAGGGGACTGTCAGAGGTGCAGTTGTGTCTCAGAGGGGATTGTCAGAGGTGCAGTTGTGTCTCAGAGGGGACTGTCAGAGGTGCAGTTGTGTCTCAGAGGTGCAGTTGTGTCTCAGAGGGGACTGTCAGAGGTGCAGTTGTGTCTCAGAGGGGACTGTCAGAGGTGCAGTTGTGTCTCAGAGGTGCAGTTGTGTCAGAGGGGACTGTCAGAGGTGCAGTTGTGTCTCAGAGGTGCAGTTGTGTCTCTGAGAGATGTTGGTTGTTGTCTAGTAGTTTGTTGCATGTACAATATTTGCCATCATTGAAAATGTTCCCACATGTTCTTCTCTAGTCAGAGTGTACAGAGGGCAGACTTTTCACCCAACTGCTGACCATTTGGCGCTTTAGTCCTGGCCTTCCTGGCAACTCAAAATCCTGCACCCTGGACTTTTCGGTATGTTCTGTGTTATCTTACAGTAAATTGAGTAGGTTATAGAACATCTGTAAACATTGTTCTCATCTTGAAGCATCTACAAAAGATTGTAAACGTGTCAGTCCCTCTACATTACAAGGTAGTCCAGGATAGATTCAAGCATTGAGGCACCCTACAGCCCAAGAAACAAGAGGACAGCTTAAACAATATATTGAGTTCCTCCAGCAGATGAAGATAGAACAGCAGATTACAGAAGACATTCAGAGTCATACCCTACAACCCTCCCCCCCCCCCCCCCCCCCTTTTTTCCCACCCCAAAAAACAAAAAACATGACAATTATTTTTGAATGAACTCTGTTGATTTGCTGAAATGGTGATGGTTTTTTGGGAATTATATCCAGTTAACCTTTCTTCTGATCAGATCTTTGAGAAAAGTCATTGTTGTAGAGGGGACATGTCATTGTTGTGGGAAGGACATGTCATTGTTTTTGGGAAGGACAAGTCAGTGTTGTGGGTTGGACATGTCATTGTTGTAGGCAGGACATGTCATTGTTGTGGGAAGGAAAGGTCATTGTTGTGGGTCGGACATGTCATTGTTGTGGGAAGGACATGTCATTATTGTGGAAAGGAAAGGTCATTATCGTGGTTCGGACATGTCCTTGTTATGGGAAGGAAGTCATTTTTCCGGAGTCACTGATGCGTCCACTAATGTCATACGGCCTCATGGTGCTTAAAATTGTGTCCCTCATGATCTTCACACAACTTGTAGCCAAACTCCTATGTGCTGACACCTGCAGTATCCAGTCTCTGTTATTTGATCACCTGTACATTTTGTGTTTTTTGACTACCTGTTTACTGTGTTTTGATCTGTATATTGATTTTCATATCAGTTATTTGAGATCTTGCTTTCATAAAATGATTAATTTTGAACACATCATCACTTTCACAACAGGCCATCACTTTCACAACAGGCCATCACTTTCACAACAGGCCTTCACTTTCACAATGGGCCATCACTTTCACAACAGGCCTTCACTTTCACAACAGGCCTTCACTTTCACAACGGGCCATCACTTTCACAACAGGCCATCACTTTCACAATGGGCCATCACTTTCACAACGGGCCATCACTTTCACAACAGGCCATCACTTTCACAACAGGCCATCACTTTCACAATGGGCCATCACTTTCACAACAGGCCATCACTTTCACAACAGGCCATCACTTTCACAACAGGCCATCACTTTCACAATGGGCCATCACTTTCACAACAGGCCATCACTTTCACAACAGGCCATCACTTTCACAACAGGCCATCACTTTCACAACAGGCCATCACTTTCACAATGGGCCATCACTTTCACAATGGGCCATCACTTTCACAACAGGCCATCACTTTCACAACAGGCCATCACTTTCACAATGGGCCATCACTTTCACAATGGGCCTTCACTTTCACAACCAACCATCAGCTGTAACAACCCCCAATAAAGATCTCCACCATTTGCTTCTAATGCTGGCTGTCAGAATCTTCTCTTGATCTCTTTTGGGCTACAGCTTCCCTGGGAACATTGTCATCGAGGCTCAGTCAGTGATCATAGACACATATATGTCATCAAGGCTCAGTCAGTGATCATAGACACATATATGTCATCAAGGCTCAGTCAGTGATCATAGACACAAATATGTCATCAAGGCTCAGTCAGTGATCATAGACACATATATTTCATCAAGGCTCAGTCAGTGATCATAGACACATATATGTCATCAAGGCTCAGTCAGTGATCATAGACACATATATTTCATCAAGGCTCAGTCAGTGATCATAGACACATATATGTCATCAAGGCTCAGTCAGTGATCATAGACACATATATGTCATCAAGGCTCAGTCAGTGATCATAGACACATATATTTCATCAAGGCTCAGTCAGTGATCATAGACACATATATGTCATCAAGGCTCAGTCAGTGATCATAGACACATATATGTCATCAAGGCTCAGTCAGTGATCATAGACACATATATTTCATCAAGGCTCAGTCAGTGATCATAGACACATATATGTCATCAAGGCTCAGTCAGTGATCATAGACACATATATTTCATCAAGGCTCAGTCAGTGATCATAGACACATATATGTCATCAAGGCTCAGTCAGTGATCATAGACACATATATTTCATCAAGGCTCAGTCAGTGATCATAGACACATATATGTCATCAAGGCTCAGTCAGTGATCATAGACACATATATGTCATCAAGGCTCAGTCAGTGATCATAGACACATATATGTCATCAAGGCTCAGTCAGTGTTCCACTGTGATCATAGACACACATATTGACAACTGTCGCACTGCTGTATTATACAAGACACAGCTTCTGCTGTCTCTGTGGTGTCCATCTGTCGCTGGTTTAAGCTGCAAGTGTTTTCTCAGCTGGGGAATCAAAGCCACTGACCTGAGGCTCAAACACACTATGTGTCAGACATGATGATCCATTGGCCACTGACTCAAACAGAGACTAGACAGAACACACCTCCACAATGTGGGAGCCAGACAAAATGATCCATTGGCCACTGACTCAAACAGAGGCTCGAACACACCTCCACAATGTGGGAGCCAGACAAAATGATCCATTGGCCACTGACTCAAACAGAGACTAGACAGAACACACCTCCACAATGTGGGAGCCAGACAAAATGATCCATAGGCCACTGACTCAAACAGAGACTAGATAGAACACACCTCCACAATGTGGAAGCCAGACAAAATGATCCATTGGCCACTGACTCAAACAGAGACTAGACAGAACACACCTCCACAATGTGGGAGCCAGACAAAATGATCCATTGGCCACTGACTCAAACAGAGGCTGGACAGAACACACCTCCACAATGTGGGAGCCAAACAAAATGATCCATTGGCCACTGACTCAAACAGAGGCTGGAACACACCTCCACAATGTGGGAGCCAGACAAAATGATCCATTGGCCACTGACTCAAACAGAGACTAGACAGAACACACCTCCACAATGTGGGAGCCAGACAAAATGATCCATTGGCCACTGACTCAAACAGAGGCTGGACAGAACATACCTCCACAATGTGGGAGCCAGACAAAATGATCCATTGGCCACTGACTCAAACAGAGGCTGGAACACACCTCCACAATGTGGGAGCCAGACAAAATGATCCATTGGCCACTGACTCAAACAGAGACTAGACAGAACACACCTCCACAATGTGGGAGCCAGACAAAATGATCCATTAGCCACTGACTCAAACAGAGACTAGATAGAACACACCTCCACAATGTGGGAGCCAGACAAAATGATCCATTGGCCACTGACTCAAACAGAGACTAGACAGAACACACCATAATGTGGGAGCCAGACAAAATGATCCATTGGCCACTGACTCAAACAGAGACTAGACAGAACACACCTCCACAGTGTAGGAGCCAGACAAAATGATCCATTGGCCACTGACTCAAACAGAGACTAGACAGAACACACCTCCACAATGTGGGAGCCAGACAAAATGATCCATTGGCCACTGACTCAAACAGAGACTAGACAGAACACACCTCCACAATGTGGGAGCCAGACAAAATGATCCATTGGCCACTGACTCAAACAGAGACTAGACAGAACACACCTCCACAACGTGGGAGCCAGACAAAATGATCCATTGGCCACTGACTCAAACAGAGACTAGACAGAACACACCTCCACAATGTGGGAGCCAGACAAAATGATCCATTGGCCACTGACTCAAACAGAGACTAGACAGAACACACCTCCACAATGTGGGAGCCAGACAAAATGATCCATTGGCCACTGACTTTAAGTATTCCCATGACATAGAATGTCCCTATAAGAGGTCTGGCTGACTACTAGAAACTTGCCAAGACCAGGATCTCATAGCCTGCAGGTCATTCTGTAGTGTCATAGACTTTTTTTTTCTTTAATGTATTGTTATCTGAGCTTTTTATTTCTGAGTATTAACTGTTTAAGAGTCAGAATCTACAGCTTGAAACATTTGCTGCTGGAGAGGGGGCATTTGTGGGTATGCTACTCAGTCATTTTGTTTGTTTTCTTGATGACTTGGTTGATAGCCTGACTGGCCTGCAACAAGTTGAACAAAAGCATCACTGAAACCACCCAAGACCTGCAAGACATTCAACTAAAACCCAGGAACAGAAGAAGATTGGATGATTGTGATCATCACTGAAGCCTACCAAGACCTGCAAGACACTCAACTAAAACCCAGGAACAGAAGAAGATTGGATGATTGTGATCATCACTGAAGCCACCCAAGACCTGCAAGACACTCAACTAAAACCCAGGAACAGAAGAAGATTGGATGATTGTGATCATCACTGAAGCCACCCAAGACCTGCAAGACACTCAACTAAAACCCAGGAACAGAAGAAGATTGGATGATTGTGATCATCACTGAAGCCACCCAAGACCTGCAAGACACTCAACTAAAACCCAGGAACAGAAGAAGATTGGATGATTGTGATCATCACTGAAGCCACCCAAGACCTGCAAGACACTCAACTAAAACCCAGGAACAGAAGAAGATTGGATGATTGTGATCATCACTGAAGCCTTGCAAGACACTCAACTAAAACCCAGGAACAGAAGAAGATTGGATGATTGTGATCATCACTGAAGCCACCCAAGACCTGCAAGACACTCAACTAAAACCCAGGAACAGAAGAAGATTGGATGATTGTGATCATCACTGAAGCCACCCAAGACCTGCAAGACACTCAACTAAAACCCAGGAACAGAAGAAGATTGGATGATTGTGATCATCACTGAAGCCACCCAAGACCTGCAAGACACTCAACTAAAACCCAGGAACAGAAGAAGATTGGATGATTGTGATCATCACTGAAGCCTTGCAAGACACTCAACTAAAACCCAGGAACAGAAGAAGATTGGATGATTGTGATCATCACTGAAGCCACCCAAGACCTGCAAGACACTCAACTAAAACCCAGGAG